GCTGGGTGGCTTGTGAGGGGGCAGCAGCTGCCACTGAGCTTGGAGACCACACATGCAGGGAGCAGAGGTGACCCTGGGCCAAGGGCCAAGCAAAGTCGCCTCTCTGCCGCTCCACGCTCCTCCCTTTCTTCCAGCCTCACCTCTGCCTCCTCTGCCTGCCCAGCTGGAGGGAATGCCACTTCCTAGTTTCTACTATGATAATTCTTGGCATGCTGAATTCAACAGGTAGGGCTTGGGAAAGAATCGCAGTAAAGGAGAAAAGGAAATTGTCGAAGTGACTTTGTAGATCACCCTTGGGACCACTTCTGCACCATTTCTGCCCTTCCAGGTCTGGACTCGCTGTAGGGACTGACGTGTGATGTTGAGCACGTGACCCTCCACATTCCTTTGGTGCCGCCAGGGTCTTGGGTCGGCAGGCTGGTTTCTGTGGTAGTGTCCTGCTTGTGGTGCTGTCTGACTCCTCAGTCTTTCACCAAACGCAGGAAGCTTCCAGCCTCTGTTCTTGAGGAGCCCAGAGAAGAGCACTGGGCCCTTTCTTCCTCCCGGGGCTCTGATGACCTGAGCATTAGCCTTCCTATTTCCTTTATCAGCCAGAGATTCCTGAACCCTTCTCAATAATTATTCTTTCCGTTAAGATTTGATAATAGACCTGCATCTACTGTTCCAGATCCACCTTGAATTGATCAATCTAAAACAAATTTATTTAGTTACTGTATTTTTTAGCTCTATAATTTCCGTTTTGTTTTTTTTTTTCCTATCTTCTACCGTGCCAGGCTCTAGGTTTTGTTTCAAGAGTGTTCATGGTTGCTTGTTTTACCATGGCTGCTGGATAGTTTGGCTGGGTTAAGGGTGTCCCAAGGGTTCATGTGTTGAGATTTTTCTCCCTGTGAGATACTAAGAGGGTGGGCACTTTATTTGGCTACAGGCTTAGAGGTGGGGGCTTTGGGGGTGAATAGGGTTAGAAAAAGCCATCAGGGTGGAGGTTCATCATTGGATTGTGGTGGACTTATTAGAAGAGAGAGAGAGAATACATGCATTTACATGCACATGCACACACTCATGCCTGTGTGCTACACACAGTCACATGCCTTACACACACATACACACACATTTGTGTGCACGTATCTCCTGCTGTTTGATGCCTGTGTCTCCTCAGGATTCGGCCACCAAGAAGGTCACCATCATATGTGGGTCTTTTAACAACAGGTCTGTGATTAAATAAACCCTTTTCTTTATAAAATAAGCCACCTCAGGTATTTCAATATAGTAATGAAAGACAGGTTAATACACTGCTTTAAAAATGTAATCTCAATATCTTTGCCATCTTTTCATTGGCAGTGGTTGTCTTTTCCAAGTAAGCTGAGATTTCTCCTGGTTCTTTATATGCTGTATAATTTTGGATTGTTTTTGGAACATTTTGAATATTCTGCTGTGAGACTCTCAACTGTATTTAAACTTGAAAAACAGTTGGTGCTTCTGTTTTAGCAAGCAGCAGGTCTGGCTGAGTCCAAGCCACCTCCTATGGGTTGGGCCCAGGTTGGCGCGGGGTCCAGGGCTGTGGAGGGCATTTGGGTCTTCCCCGTGCACCGCCTTGGGGTGGGCCTTTGGGTTAGGGCAGCGGGAGAGGCTGGGACCTGGGGTTCACACACAGTCAGGGCATTGCCCCGCCAAGTGCCTCTGGCTTTGCACCTGCTTGGCCCTGCAAAAAACCCATGTGGCTGTGACCGGGCCCTACCTTGGGCATCTCCGGGAGGCAGAGAACAGAAGAAAGAGGAGCGGGGATTTATCCTGTCTGCTGGGGTCCCAAGACCGTGCACTGGACAGGAAATTCTCTTCCCTGGGATGGAGCTTTGGCTCCTGGGGGTCCCTCCCTGCTGGGTCAGACAAAAATGCCCCAGGAGGCTTGCAGGCTGGAGTTGAGAGCCCAGAGAGCAAGGCTGTGGTATTTCCACCTTTCCCCTGAGCACCAGGAGCCTCCTTTGCCACTCCTGAGCTAGAAGCAGAGGCCTTCCCTGAGGCTCCCGCTGGGTGTGGCAGTGGCCACCCTGGGTCCACCCCACGTGACAGAGGAGGAGAATTGTGACCTTGCTGCTGGTGAGGTGAAGCTCTGAAATGTGACTTTCTCTACTTTTCTGGTACAGTTTGCTTTTCAGAGACCTGGAATAATCAGTCCATGCCTCTGAGCTGCTTTACAGATGTGCGCAGAGGGGGCCAGCAGAGTGCGGTTACTGCATCTTATTGAGGACAGCATCCTTGCCTTTATAAAGACAATCTCCCACTGGGCATGGTGGCACATGCCTGTGATGCCAGCACTTGGGAGGCTGAGGCAGGAGGATCCCTGTGAGCTCATGACCAGCCTGGGCTACATAGTGAATTCTAGGTCAGTCTCAACTACATAGTGAGACCCTGTCTCAAAAAAAAAAAAAAAAAAGACAATCTCCCCAGATGGAATTGAAGGTTGATCTCCTTTTCACTTTCACTATAAATGTGTTGTCTACTGTGGTCTTGCCCTCATTATTTCCAATACAAAATCTGCTGCCATTTTAGTCTTTGTTCCTCTCTAGGTAGCGGGTTTTTTCCCCTCTGGTATTTTGAGGTATTTTCTTTATCCTTAGAGTTAAGCAAGGTGATTGCTACGTGTCATTATGTTTCATTTCTTTTTTCTTTTTTTTTTAAGCTGGATGTGGCAGTGCACACCTATTATCCCAGCACTCAAGGAGGCTGAGGCAGGAGGATTGCAAATTTGAGCCCATCATGAGCAATTTAATGATTTAGTGGTGAGTCCTCATCTCAAAATAAAAACATTAAAAAGGGCTAGGGATTGTGGTTCATGGCAAAGGCTCTGGGATCGATCCTCAGTACTAAAAAAGCCTTTATCTTTCTTGTATTGGAGTGTCCTTAGTGTCCTTCTCAAATCTGTGAGTGTGTGGTTTTCATCATACTTAGGATGTTTTCAGCCTTTATTTCTTCAAAAAGAAGAAAAAATGTCCCCTCTCCCTTCTGAAATTCTTGTCAGACACGGATCAGGCTGCTTGAAGGTGTGCCTCGCAGTACTAATTCTATGTTAATTTTTCCAAGTACTTTTCCTTGTTGAGTTTTGTTTAAAATATGTTATTCTGTGTCTTTAAGTTCACTGATCCTTTCTCCTCCAGCGTCTAATCTGTTATTACTTCCATTCATTGTATTTCTTGACTCAGATATTATAGTTTGCATGTCTAGAAATTTGATTTGGGTCTTTTCGTACTTTTCCTATCCGGCTTTCTGAGCATGTGGGATACGAATGTGACAACCTCTTGAAAGTTCCTGACTGCTGGTTCTAACAGTGTTGTTAATCCAGAGTCATATCTGGTTGATTTCTCATCTTGTGATGGGTTGTGTTTTCATGCTTCCTTGCAAGCTGAGAAATTGTTTATTGGTTTCTGGCTTTAAAAAAATTCCTCAATTATTTCTGAGCTCTGTTTGGGGATGCAGTTCTGTTCCTTGGAAGCACGTTGAGCGTTTCAGATGTGCTGGAGATCTGTGAGGTGGACCAGCTCCGTGTTCCGCCTGGGATGATGACTCCCAGGGCTGGCGTGCAGGTTCTGAGCCCTCCTCGCAGGAACCGAGGTGTCTGGTGTGGCTGTGGCAATCAGTGGCTGAACCCCTGTGTGCCTATCCTTTGGGCCCTTGCTTGTAGCCTCAGGGAGTTTCCTGTCTGCATGGCTCTGCTGCACCCTGCTGCCCGCTCTGTCTCTGCAGCTACCCCTCTCAGTGCTCTGTCCTGAAGACTTAGGCTGCCCCGGGCACCCCCTGGCTCTCAGCTTGGTCTGCTCCACTCAGGGGTCTCTTGGCTCCCCCTGGTCCCAGTCCCCACGCTGAGCCTGGAAACTCACTGCCCAGGAGTGTGGTGGCCTTGGGCTCAGCCCCTTTGCTTCCCACCTCTCATGTTTCCTTCGCTGCCAGATGTCCTTTGGCTTCATAGTTTTCAGCTGGATGGCACCTCTAGTCCCTGGTACTCAGCATCGCCAGCCTAGGTCACGTGCCACCCCTGAGCTGTGACAGTCACCAGGGACCCTGTGTGCTGAGGTGGGGCTGGAGCATGTGGCTGGCACCTGGGACCCACATGGGCCTCACTCATGGCCTGACAGCCTGGCACATGCATGTTCATGGAGCTGGGAACATGCATGTTCATGGAGCTGGCCACATCAGATGCAGTCTGAGCTTCATTTCCATCCGCAGAGTACACATGATAATTGGCTGAAGCAGACACCCTCATCCTGCCCTTTTCCATGTGAGGCAGCAGATGCTTTTACAGGGTGCTCAGCTTGCGGAGTCAGAACTGGGTCCCTGCTCAGTGGGGAACCTGCCACCCCTCACCCCATCCTGCCCTGTAGGAGCACAGCCTGCTTCCCGGCAGCCTCAGGAGGCTCTGGTCCAGGGCCCTCACAGGGTGGCCACAGCCGACAAGTGGAATTTGGCAGGACTTGGTATGGATTTTAAAAATCCAGATGCCCTCCAAGGATGTTGGGGAATGTGGTCCAGTCACTGCACACCTCCCAGCCCAAACACGTCTGCTTACCCCACCAGCATCTCTGCCTCTTTCCACTCAGCTCCTGCTCTACCAGCTTCCCCCAGCCTGCTAGACCCTCCCTCCTCATCCTGTGCTTCCCCTGGTTGGAGGATGTCTGCACCTTGCTCCCTCCCTGCACAGTGAGCACTTGGTGGGTGGGAGGGTTTTTGCCATTTGGCTTTTCATTCCTGGCCCTGAGGAATGAGCGAATGAATCTCCAACCTGTGCCCTTGAGGACACCATGGCTCATAAAGAGTTCTATCATCACACGTAACCAGAGGTTCTGAGGTAGAGGGGCTGCAGGCACAGCATGATCAGGGGTTCAGCTCCATTCCCTTGACTCCACTTACCTGTGTACAGGCAGCCTCCCCCATGGCTTTGTGATGGCAGAGTAACTGTCACAATCAGAACAATGGACTTGCTCATTCACCCCCAGTAGGAGAAACCTAGATGAAGCAAAAGTCCTCTTCACTCTGATTGGCCATTTTAGGTCATGTGCCTTCTGCTGGACCTGTTACAGGCACCAGGGAATTCTGTGTGCTGATTGGCTGAAATAAGCCCTGGAGAGGAAGATGGGATATGTGATTGGCTAATTGGTATCCATTCATAAGAAGAGATGAAACTAACTCCCAAGTGCAGGGGCAGTGTGGAAACAAAGGGGACACCACCACCCATACTGGGTGCCCCGGGGAGGGAAGGAAGGCACGGTGGCTGGTGAGGTGAGTGGGCAGGGCACGCACAGGGCCCTGGGCAGAACGTGTGGGCCCTGGCCCTGCATGTGCTATGACTCACAGAGGGTGGCAGGAAGTTCTGTGTGCTGGCTCCCTTTGTGTCCTGTAGAACAGGAAACTGGCATTTCTCAAGGCCTGGCCCAGTTGCCTCTGCTGTGCACCAGAGCTGTGGGTGTGTCTCCCTGTGGGAAGAGACTGTGACTGTTCCACAGAGAGAGGAGGTCGGAAACTTGCCCAGGGTCACACAGCTGGTCCACAGTGGAGGCCCAGGTCCTCAGGTCAGGCCCCCACGGTCCCTGCTGACCAACTGGGATGTTCTCAGTGGATGTTCTTGCTTCTCTGCCTTCCCCTTCCCCAGCACCACTGTTGAACTCCTGCCCCATCTGTCCCCTCCCCTGCCATCCAGGGCCAAGTGTCCTCAGCGGGCAGAAAGCATGGGTTGTATCCAGGGTTCTCAGAACAGAGATGGGCTCTGTGTCTCCTCCATCCCTGTGCCCTCTCTATGGGATTGTGTAGGGTCGGAGACGGAGAAGCCCTCAGAAGGCCAGGAGAATGACTGGCTGCCCTACAGAGCCTGCCAAGGACATGCAGACACAGACGAGGAGAAAGATAAAATGTTAAGAAGACCTGAAAGGCAGGGCTGGTGATCCGGGTGGTGAGTGTGGCAGGCTGTGTCCCCGGGCATCCCTTGCCCCAGTGCCATGGGGGACAGGCCGTCAGTGGTGCTCTTCCTGGGCCCTTGCGGTACAGAAAGCCTTGGGTGGATGGAAGTTGGTGCACTGGGCCTCCCCCCCGCCACCCTCTGCTCCTTACATCTCAGGATGCCTTGCCGGGAGGACTCTCTTTCCCACTTCACACACAAGGACAGTAACGGAGCCCCGCGGCCCAGCTGGGAGGGGGATTGGAACCAGAGGCGCCTTGCTCTTCGCTGAGCATCTCACCCTTGTGCAGTCGGGAACTGGTCCCCTCCCCTGCCCCCAGTGCTAAGGGGCTGAATATTGGGCCGGCCCAACTCCTCTCCGGTCCTTCTCATTGCTGCTAGGTGGGCAGAAGGGCCCTGCGCTGGCAGCTGGGGTCCTCTCCGCAATTCCGGCCCAACCCAGACCTTGCTTTCTTCCCTCAGCCAGGAGCAGCAGCTGCCTTTGCTGCCGCGGCCCCTCTCCAATCCATCATGGCGTGGACGCCTGGAAAAGTGCAAATAAACCTGGGGTTATGATATTTTTCGAAAAAAAGAAGTGCGGCAGCTCAGGTCTGTTTTGGGCCATCAGCTGAATCCACCGGAGAGAGAGAGCGATGCTGAAATATTTGCGCGTGTTCTCGTGGAACATTTACTGTGGGACTCTGGGCTCCAGTAAAGCTTTTATATAAATTATTCATTTCGGAATTCAGACGAAACGCCACAGCCCTCCCACCCCGAGGCTGACTTCTTTTTAAAAAATTATTATCCCTGAAAAGCTGGTTGGTTAGCAGCTGACGTCCGCGGCGGGCAGGTGGGTAATTGGATGCTCTGGCGGGCCTCGCTGACCTTGTGCTCCCACCTCTTCCTGAAGGATTTCTCTGCTGTGGACGTGCTCTCCTTCTCCCTGGCCTGGGAGCCCTGGTTTTCAGAAGGTCGCCGGTATCTCTGGTTTCTGGCGCATGGGGAAGAGAGGGTGTCAGCCCCAGAAACAGAGCCAGTTCCCAGGCTCCCTCCCACCACCTCCCCAGCCACCTAGCGCCTCTGTTCTGGGGGCATAGGGCTGATGTTACAAGGTCTCCTGTTTAGATGAGGAGACCAGGGCTCAGAGGAGCCAATGCAGTGGCTCATGTCCCTCCCTAACTCAGTGTTGGCATCCTCACACCCAGTACCTGGGGACAGGATCTTTAAGGAGGCGATTAAAGTGAAATGAAGCCGCTAGGTGGGTGCAGATCCAGTCCGACTGGCATTCTTAGGAAGGGGACACTTGGGCACGGATACACCCAGAGGGAAGCTGTGGGATGCAGCTGTGCCTGCGTGCCGAGGATAGAGGTCCTGGGAGGCACCTGTGCTGCCCAAACCTTGGCCTCGTCCTTCAGGACGGTGAGGAAATTCTGCTCTGAGGTCTGTGCCACCAGACTGTGACACCTTTGTCCTGGTTCTGGGAAATGGATGTGAGGAGGGTGACTTCAGGTTCAGGGGTGGTGGGGTGGGATTTGAGGGTAGCCTGCCAGTGTGTGGCTGCAGAAACAGGAGCCCACTTTGCCGCTGGCTGGAGACTTCCATTTGGGGTGAGCTGGGATCCGGTGGGGACCCCATGCTGCTTCAGTTTTTTCCCACAGAACCCTGTAAAGTTCTTTGTAAATATTTGCAGGGTTAATTTCACAACTCACAATGAATAAATGAGGGAGTAAGCAGGCGAATCCCCCTCCTCAGGACGATACCTCAACAGCACTGTCCAGCACCTGCCTGATGTTGGGTGGCCGTGATGGCCCGTGTCCCCCATGTCTTGTGACCTCCTCAAGGGTCCTGATGTAGGAAATAGGCTCTGGGGACAGATGGGGCCTGGTCCCCTGGACAGCTGGGCCTGGGGGGCAGCTGTGCCAGAGGTGGAGGGGGGGAAGGTGGGGGACAGCCCCAGCCTCAGTTTCCCTCTGCAAGGGCCTCTCGGTGGACAGCAGCCGTGATTCGTGTTCCTGTGAGTCACACGGCCTCCAGGGTTTTTACATTTCCATCTTTCAGCATTGTTCATCACTTTGTTCCCTATAGGGAGAACAGGTGTGCACCGAAAAGAAGGCACCTGAAACCACGCAGTTCACTAGACTTATGCTTAGAGCCTTTAGGCACGGGCCATAGACCACAGGGACCTTTTGAGCCTGGCGCTTCTGTCCCCACTGATTCTAGGCTGGGACGCAAATGTGCTCGTGGTGACTCGAGGTGGAGCCTGGGCCAGGTTCAGGAGCACAGGTGTCCCCTCCCTCCCCCACTTCCCAGCCAGCTCTGCCCCGCTGCATGTGTACCCGTGTTAAACTTTCATTGTTCCTGACACTCTCACTTCCGTCTTGTGGAGAGTTTCCTGTAGGCACGGGGGACTCAGCACGGACTTCTCTGGAGTCCCTGGGCTGCTTCTCCTCCAAGTGTCTGCTCGAAGTGTTCTGTTTCTGGGGCCGTCCTCTTTCTCCCTCCAGCTGCACCTAGGTGTTGGGTGGATCTGTGTCCTTGCCCTTGCTCACCTGCTGTGCCGTGTCCATGGCTGGGGCCTGGTCCTCGATCTGTGCCAGTGTCCATCCTGCGCTTTCCCTGCATGGCTCTGGCGTCTGCATGTGGCCGGCCCTTCCACAGGAAATGAGTGAGCTCTTTGACCCCAGTCACGGGAACCCTGCCCTAGCTGGTGCCCTGCCACCTGCGGAGTGCACCTCCTCCTTTCCAGAGGAGAGCAGCAGCATGGGGCCGTGGCAGCCCAGGCCCCTCCACACCTGCTCTCCTTGGTGAGAAGTACAGTGCTGGCTCCTCTCCATATCCCCACCCCTCCCACATGACACAAACAGGAGCCAGGGCTGGTGACTCCTGGGCATGCTGTCCTCCTGTCCTTCACTTAAAGATCACGGGAGGAGGAGTCATCTGTGCTCTCCTGCTGCCCACAGCCACGAGCCCATGTGCTTGATTGTTTGTGAGTCTCACCCTCAGCCAGGTCTGCGCCTTGGACCTTGGGTGGCACGGAGAGCTGTGTGATACAGGGCAGGATGCGGCACAGGGCGGCCCCTCCAGGCTGGAGGAGGCTGTGTCCTGCGGTGTGCTCCCTGTGCCCAGGAATGCTTCCACGCCATCTGTCTCCCAGCCGAGGGAGCTGAGGATCGCGGGCTGGCAGAGGAGTTCCAATTTGCAATTGTAAATTGTGTTTCCTCCCTTTTGGTGCTGTGTGCGGCAGCGCTGACTGCTGGAAGGGGCTGATTGGTGTTGGCAGCCGGCTTCGTTTTTCCATATGGCATGGAGTACAGCCCTGGCATCCCGAGGGCGGAGACTCTCCCTGGGCTGGTGGTGGGATGTGCTGGACAGGTGGCTGTGCTCAGGTAGCCCCAGGCTGGTTCTGGATCTTGGAGTCCATCAAGGTTACCCAAGCCCCGGGCTACCTGGAGAACTCCCGTGGCGCCAACCTCTGGGCCTCCATTCCTCACTTGAGGGCCACACCCTGAGCAGTTCTGCCATGAGAGTCAATCCTGTCCTCTGTCCTCCACTACCTGGTTGCACGGCAGCCCCTCCAGGAGGCTGCTCTCACCTCTGAACCCAGGGACAACACCCTTATTGCTTCACCTGGGGTGGGCATTTGTCCCAGGCCTCTGCTGGGACCCACAGTCTCATGTCATTCGAGGAGACAGCTGCAAACATCCAGACTCCTCAGAATGGAAGCGACACAGCACTTCTGGAGCAAGGGCCCCAAGGACACAGCTGGCTCCCCCACCCCAGCTCCCTCGGCTCTCTCTGGGCTCCTTGTCCTCCTGCCGTGGCCTCTGCTTGATACCTTTCCGACTGCTTGGACACTGTGACTTTGACCATCTCACCAGTTTCCCGTTCCCCGCCACATTCTCCACTGCTCATCCTGCTTGTCTGACTATGATCAGCTGTCCACCTGTCTACTTCCTGGATGGGGGCTCAGCACCTGCCTCTTCCCTTCGCCCTGAGCTCACCCTGGCCAGAGTGCACCTGCAGTGGCTGCACCTCTGCAGGCAGCATCATGGTGCCTGTGGCTCTCTGGGACCTCAGGATCGGGGACACCGCCATGGGATCCACACCCTTCGCAGTCCTTGTGGGTCCTCCTGACCTCTCGCCCCCTTTGTCTGCAGGGTCCTCACAATCATGTGCCTGCTCCTCCGCAGTGGGCTGGGATGGAGATGGGCCAGCACCGGGACTGGGGAGTAGGGCAGGCTCAGGCATCACGGGGATTTTAGGGCAGTGCCAAGACCCTGTCTGACACTCCAGTGGTGACATTGCCGTTCTACATTTGTCATGCAACACCATGTCAGACCTGGTGCAGACCGAGGATTGACAGTGGCTGTCCTGGAGTCTACAGGAACAGGTGCACTGCACAGGTAGGCAGGTGGCTATGGGGGCAGTGGGGTAAGGTATGGGGTGGAAACTTTGATTGTGTGCTGGATTTTACTGTGAACCTAAAGCTGCTCTAAAAGATAAGATCTATTTTGAAAAGCACTTGAAGGCTGAGTCAGTGTCTAATAAAGATAGGAGGAAGAGGAGGAGGGAGAGACTTTGGGAGCAGGCTGGGGAGGGAATTTCTAGGTTCTTGGGGGCCTGGCAGGGGCAGGGTGAGGACAGCAGGGCAGGAGGAAGCGAGGTACAGACTGTGCCTGGGACTGTGGGCTCCTCTGGGGACTCAGCGCACCTCGATTGCTTTTCTGCTGCTGTGTTCTCCTGAGTGCGAGTCCCATGGAGGCTGCTCATGACCTGCCCGGCTCTCACACCTGGTGATGTTTGTAAATTAAGTGCCATTGCTGCAGAGTGGGATGGAGTTGAGAGAGTGTGAACTGGAGACCCCTTCCTGTTCCACAAGGCCCCACAGGACACCAGGCTGGCTCCTCCCTCCTCCTATGCAGTGTTTGGGGCAGCAGAATTAGGGTGTGGAATCCAGAGCAAAAGAAATCTGTGGTCACCCCTCCACTGAGTGGGACTGTGCTTGGATTACATCTAACCACTGCCTTTATCTCCTAGATATTTCCTAGATGTTGCCCCTATCCATCTGTGTATCTATGTATCTGTCTTCTACATTTATAAATTATGGAACTGCCTCAGTGTTTTTGGTAGTCTGGCAGATGGCCAGCTGCCTAGAAGGACCGGTGCCCGCTTCTCAGCTGTAGTGTTGCTGCTGAGAATGGACTTTTCAGCAGGGTGCTCAGTTCCAGCCACTGTTACTCCTTCATAGGTTGGAGCTGTGGCAGAGGCCTCACCTGCACAGAACAGATGGCCCCTGATGTGTGTGACTTCTGATTTTCCAACTCTATGGGTATGATTTTGGTTGAGCTTTGCTGTCTTCCTGTGCTAGTGAAAGGTAGTCCCCTCCTCCTGTGGTTCCCCTCCCATCAGCTCTGTACCACAAGGGAGCAGCTGAGACTCCCCTGTGTGTTAGGGGGTGGGTTTTTGCACCCCGCATGACACAAAGTGCCTGTCTGAGTGTGCATGAGGGTTGTTCAAGTCTCCGTCATCAAATAAGCTTTGTGCTCCCTGCATTTGCCCTACTGAGAGCCGATGGAGCTCTGAGCGTGGCCAACATGGGCCAGGCTAGGTAAGTTCTGTGCTCAGGTGTTGAAGCGCATTTTCCACTGGGATATTTCCGGCTGGGAATGGGAATATGGCTCCATGGCAAGTCAGGAGCTGTGGCTCTCATCTGTCCTTCTCTATCTCGTGATGGGGCCGAGAGGTCCAATAAGGACACCAGGGAGCAGCGCAGCTCG